GGGCTGGGCCAGGGGGCCAGCCTTGGGGGGTGGAGTGTGACCCAGGGCCCAGCACGATAAGGATGCCCACAGCAGTGTGTGCAGGGGTGGGTGGGAGGGCACCAAGGTGCATACCAGGAAAGGCTTTGGCCTGGTAGCCTCCCATGGCTGCTGCAACAAAGTGCCACAAACCAGGCAGCTTAAAACTACAGAAATGGACTGCCTCACCCTTCTGGAGGCTCAAAGTCCAAAATCAAGGTGTCAGCAGGGCTGTGCTCCCCTGAGACCTGTAGAGGGGAATCCTTCCTTGCCTTTTCCCAGCATCTGGTGGGGGCCAGTGACTCTCAGTGTTGCTCTGCTCAGCAGCTGCAGAACTCTGGCCTCTGCCGTCATCATGTATACCCTCCCCTCGTGTGTCTGTGCTTGCATTTCTTCTCCCCTTGGAAGGACACTATTTGTATAGGATTTAGGGCCCACCCTGCTCCAGGTGCTTCACCTTGCTCATTTTAAATAATTGTATCTACAAGGACTCTATTTCCAAATACGGTCACATTCTGAGGTACCAGGTATCAGGCAACATATCTTCTTGGAGGACCCAGTTCTGCACACATCATACCTGCTCATGATGTGAGGTGTGAGCCAGGGCCAACGATGATTTCCTGTGGCCTTGGGCTGGATCTCCAGGAACATTTTGAGGTCTAATAGAAAATCAGTTAAGTGTATCCGGAATCCACCACTTCCCAGCTCCTTCGAAGCTATCACCTTGACCCAAGCTCCCACCATTGCTCCCTGGCCCAGTCAGATTATGTCCCCTAGACCCTCCCAAAGCCTGCCTGAGGCTTCTGGAACCACTGCGGTTCTTCCACTATGGCCTCCAAGTGCCTCCTCTGCCACACCAGCCTCAGAGCTCAGGCCCTCCATTCCATAAGTGGAGCTCCCACCTGCTCTCTGCCTGCGTTGCTTGCGGCTGCCTCCCTCCAGGCCTCTCTTCCAGGGTCTCAGATAGGCATGCCCTGAACACATAGAGCAAACTCTCTTTTGCCCTGGCACTGCCAACCCTGCTTTATTTACATGTGCATTGTCCTCCTCGTAGAACACAAGCTCTGGAAGACAGAGACCTCACTCAGGCCCAGAGGAGTGCTGGTGTGTGCGTGAGTGTGAAGGACTGGGGCCCCAGAGCACCCCTGAGGTGCTAGAAGCAAGCCTGGGATTTGGCTCTAAGGCTTGGCTTTGAGTTCTTCTGCCAGCTGGGAGCAAGTCATTTAGCATCTCTGGGCCATAGTTACCTCCTCTGTGAGAAGAGTGCTAATAAAGAGCAATGCCTGAAGGGTCAGCCTTCATCTCTCACTGGCTGGGTAACCTTGGGCAAGTCACTTCACCTCTGATCTTCAGCTCTTGTAAGTTGGGGGTTCTAGACTGAGGGTTCATGTTCTACAAGTGTCGTGTGCCAGGTGCTGGTCTAAGTGCTCTTCATGTATTAGTAACTCATTTAATCCTCACAGTAACCCTGGGAGGCAGGTGCTCTCTTCATTCTGCAGATGAGAAAACCTAGGTGCAGAGAATTACCTACTCAGGCCAGTTATGCATTGAGAAGTGGCAGGGCCCAGATCCGAGCCCAGGCATTTGGAACCACCCTCCGTGCTGGGCTGCCTTTCGTGTCAAAACCACCCAGCCTAGGTCAGGCCAAGGCACACACAGCCAGGAACAGATGCGGCTCCCTGTGGGTAAATGTTAGAAAAGCATACCACGTGCATCTGTACAGAGTGTTTCAGGAAGTTTTTCTGGGTAGAAGCACAAGAAAATGTCAAACAGCTGTTTCCCCTAGGGAGAAGAATAGAGGCAGGATGAGAGGAGTGGCTTTCTCTTCCTTTTATGCTGAAGTACTTAAAAATAAACTCTGGGCATCCCCACAGTCACCCAGGAACACTTGTGCACAGCCCACAAAGGACAAAACGAGACCTACCCATGTTTATAATTCTCAGCCACAGCAAGTGAAGGCTTTGAGCTCTTCCGGGTGGCTCCACAGGCAAAAAGATGTCTTGGGGTAGGAGGAAGGTGATGATGCGGTTGGTGCTCCTGAGGGACTGGCTTGGTTCCCTCCAGAGGTGGCTGGCTGAGAAAGAGGCTGACCCGTCAAGGCTCTTCCATGGGTCTACCGTGAGCCATGGGCTTTCACACCTCGAAGGAGGCGAACCAGGCTCAGGTGGCCATAAGGGTCCATTCAGGTGTGCTTGACAAGTACATCTGTGTTTACTGCCCTGTGCATGGGCACAAGAGGCCCTTTGTTGGGCCGGAACGCTGTCACTAAGGCAAGACCGTCTCTGCTGGAATCCTCCCTCACAGCTGAGGCTGCTGTGTGCAGCTCAGCTGATACTCAGGGCTGGTGACTGAATTCTGCATCTGCAGAACTGAGAGCTGTACATCCATTTATGAAAACCACAGCATTTAGGGGAATACCCGTTGTCTTTAATTTCCATGCTGATGTGGTAAGCTATTTCTGTATGTGCTGGCTCTGCATTATTCTGAAGCATCAGTTATGATAGGCATAAAAATGTCCATTTGCATTTGAAGCCAGGCTGGCCTTGCAGATGTGCTGAAAGGCTCAGAGGACAAGGGAGGCCTCATCGCTCCAGAAGGTCCTGTTCAGAGCCCTATGCCATTCATCACGGACTGGGCTGAATCAGGCCCTGTGGCAGCGCAGCCAAGTGGCAGCTTTCCTTGCCAAGATGGGGCTCCTTTTTCAGAGCACTTTCTGGGGTGTGGGGTGAGTGTGAGGTCTTCTCCTTTGTTCACTCACAATTTCCATTTGGTGGTAAAGGGAGGGTATCAGATATGCTGTGTTTGTTATAAACTGGGGGTTTTGTGAAGTGAGCCTCAGAGATTCTTTACCAGGGAAGGCTGGAAAGGGGCAGCCTGAGCGGTTAGTGACCTGGGCGGGGAGCTGCATTCAGTTGAGGAGAGTCCCCAGAACCGTCTGGCTTCTGTTGTTTCCACCAGTCTGGATTACGAAGTCTTTGTCTCTAGAGTACAAAAAAGCCCAAACCTAAATAAGCACTGTGATTGGCAAATGTGAAGTTTGGGAACAAAACCAATAAAAAATACACTTTTGTCTTGGTGTGTTAATAAAGCAAATTTTAAGATTAACTTGAGGACATTTCATTACATCTTGCTTTATTTTTAAAGAATTACTTTGGAAAATATAACAGTGATGTGCTGGGCTGGGATTTAGCTTGGTTTTATTTAGAAAAGTTTATTTGTGTTTTTATAACTACAGCACTTTTTTGAACTCCGACTTGCCTATGTAGCTTAGAGTAGATAGGAAGGCTTTTTCCCCCAACTGCTGGTTTTTTGATTGACAGTAAATTATAGCAAACACACTGTGCTTCACGCCACAGAATTATTCCAGATGCACCCTTAAGCTGTGTTTCGTGTGTGTGCTTGAAATTGGGTGACAGAGCAATGCTGCTCACAGCCTCCTGCCCTCTGCCCAGAGCAGACCCCTGCCCCACCTTGCCTTGCCTGATTCTTCTGTGGATTATCACCATGACCCTAACTGTCTATAGGTTTCTTTTCCTGTTTACTCACAGTAGCCAAAGACCAGCCAACTACAAACCTCATCTGTCAGGAATTGTTCCTGACCTTTTATTTTCTCCCAGAGAGTCCCAGCCTAAAAGGCAAATGTTGATTGGAGCTTTAGGCAGAAGCAGCATGTGGGTGAGTGAGTTCTGGTAGGTTGGGTTTGCTAGAATGGATGTAATGAAAAAAGTAAGTGGACACACAGTCAGAGCATGTTCAGACAACCAGCCATCACCATGACATTCTCCATCTGTCCATCCGTCCATCCATCCATCCATCCATTCATCTGTGAATGAATGATGCACACATGCATCCATTCAGTGGTATTTGCCAGCTGCTCTGCCAAACTCTGGGAGTGAATGTAATGGTTGAAAGATGGGCCGGGGACCTTTCCAAGGAACGTACCTTCTGGCATAACCCGCCAAACTGCAGGTGGGGGTGTAAGAGCTAGGGGTGGGGGGCACTGACTGCACCCCAGTGGGGACAGCAGTCCGGAGGACCAGGGCTGGAAGCTGAGCTTTGGAACCAAGGAGTTGGGTATGAAGGGCCCAGCATGCACAAAGGCTCAGTGGGAGGGTAGAGCACAGCACTGTCTGAGGCAGGGGCCTCTTTGACTTGGTAGCCCTTGCTCTGAGTAATTTCCGAGAAGCTGTGGACCCTCTCTGAGTGGGGCAGAGGGAAGCTTGCTCCCAGGCACGTGCTTCAAAGCTTTCCATCTGACTTCTGGAGGCACCTAGATTCTCTGATGGCCATGTGAGGCCCTGCCTGGCTTACAGTGTGAATGGGTAAACACTCCCTTCCTAGAGATTTGGTGCATCAGCTAGGAATTCATATCTCATCCCTTCAATGAAAACTGTCTTTCCAGGAGCTGCTTACAGTTGTTTAAACTAGCTAAGTACTTACCAAAAAAAAAAATGTCTGCATAGGTGATTTTTTTCAAGTCAATATATGGCTTTACTGAAAAAAATTAAATTCTCAGGGTTAACAGAGAAACATTGGGCTTTATTTTTTCATGATCCTTACCCAGAGTGAGATTCTTAAATGTGGGAGTCTCAAGGGGAAGTCTTCATCCACAGATGCTCTGTGCTTGTTTGAATGATGTTCTTTGATCCAGCTTTTCAAGACTATACTCTTGCTCTTTTTAGAAATCAGTTCCTCTCTTTGAAGCTGTGCATTGAAGAGTGAGGTTCCACTCCTTGTGTGGCCTGACCACTGGGCTTGCACCCCGAAGGTGTGTTTGGTCATTTCCACATGGCTTATGTAGCTGTGAAACCACATTTGACTTGACTTGATTTTAACCTTGAAATATTCGCAGACCTTCCCAACACAATGCCCATATTGCAGGGCTCCTGCCAGCCCTTGTGGGGTGAAAGGGGAGTGGTAGCTTGCCCAGGTAGCTGCTGAGCAGTAGCCTGTCCCTGTATGGTGACTTTGCCTCCCCACAGCCACATCCCCGAGAGTGCCCTCCGAGCTGGAGCAGGCCCGGCCCCAGACCAGCGGAGAGGAGGAGCTTCAGCTGCAGCTGGCTCTGGCCATGAGCAGAGAGGTGGCTGAGCAGGTCAGTGCTTGGGCTGGTCTGCCACTGCAGTCAGCCCTGTGTGGCGGTCGGTGTGGGCATGGATCACAGGGAGGGCGAGGACACACGTGCCCTATCCTCGGTGTGTCCAGAGCGCTTCCCGAGATGTGACTAGGTTCTTAACCTCCCCCTGCCCCCGTCAGGGAGGTGCCCCATGCAGAGTTGCATTTAGGAAAGGTTTTCATTGTCAAGGAACAAACCAGTCAAATGTTCTTCCCAGAAACACTAATGCAGACAGGGCCTAGTGTCATGAGCTCTTTTTGAATGAGCTGAGTGTCCACAGCCTCCCTCGACGAAAGGCGTGTGGGCGCACAATAGGGCTTAGCCCTCTAGTAAGGCAATTTGGTAAGATAGATTAAGAGCATCTGAAGAACAACAAAGGGCTAGAAGGAAATGCTCCAGGAAATAAGAGGGCTTAAATTGAGATGGCGGAAATATGTGTAGTTTTAATTCTTTTTCAGTTCCCGTTTTTTCTAGTCAGCATGCTTTACTTTAAAGTGGAGGAGGGAAAAGGACTGCTGAGATGGCCTTTCAGAGTTACCACCCCTTTGCTCACAGCTCTCAGGTCTGTCCTCACCGGCCTTGGGTGAATAAGGGTAGAGGGAGTCAGGCGGCCCAAGGCCCCTTCTCACTTAAAAGTGGTGTCCGGAGACAAATGATAGAGATAGTCAGACGAAGTACACAGGTGTTTGTCCCACTGTGATTTGTATTGCTGTAACCAGAAATGTCCGGAAGCTCAGCAGTGGCACACAGCCTCAGTGATGGCCTCTCTGTCTACAGGAGGAGGCAGACAGCCATTAAATCTGCCCCTGTGGATGCCAGCCTCTATCACTGATGGCTCTGGAAGATGGTGCAGAAATACCGGGTGCAGATGGATGGTCCCATTTTAGTTAATAACTCATCTGTGACATCATATACATAATAAATAAAATATAGTGAATGTATTTATTCGTTATATTACAGAAGCTAGGATGAACCAGTCTTTTGCCTATGGGGACTTGGCCTTAAACACAAATTAAATATAATGAGTCATTTGTTGAACTCATAGAAATAAATACAATAAATAAATAAATAAATAAATGAATGAATGAATACATAGTCATTTTTGGAAGCTTACACAGTAGGAGGTAGAATGATATGTGATTTTCATCTCTAATTCTTGGGTTTTTGTTTCATAAGGAGACATATCACTTCTGTAATTAGAAAGAATTATAAAGCCAGTTTCATCTTAGAGAAAAATATTTTAAAATAAGTGCTCCCTTTTCCCAGGGGACCTGTGTCCCTGTCTCCCTGGTGAGACCCCCAAACCAGGGAAGCCACACAGTGTAGGCAAGTGGGGTGTGTTCTGGGATGGAAGAGTAACCATTTTATGAGCTGTTTTGAGATCTTCCTTTGAAATGAGGTGTAATTCAGTGTCACACTTCCTGCCCCTGGCCGGCTGCATTCGATCCTGGTGAGCGATGATGTCATAGCGGCCCCCCATCAGCTTCACATCCCTGTGTCCTCTTCAGGAAGAACGCCTGAGGCGGGGCGATGACCTCAGATTGCAGATGGCCCTGGAAGAAAGCCGGAGAGACACGGCCAAAGTTCCAAAAAAGAAAGAGGTAAGTGCTTCCCTGGGAAGGGAAATGTTTGAGACTGTCCTGTGGCTGTTGCCGAAGTGTCACAAACCTGCCCTGCCATGTGCATGTGACATTTGGTGAGTGCCCATACGTGCCATTTTCTCTCTTTATTCAACAAATAATCCTGGGGCCTGCGATAAGCAGGAGTGAGGTTTGGACGTAACTTAGAGCACCTCCTTGTCTGCCAACACTGGGCCTCCCAAGACCACCTGAGAGAGACTGGGTCCTGCCGGGCAGCTTCTGCTGGCCTGTGCCTCAGTCCCCTCCTCTGTAAGCAAGTGTAAAATGCCCTCCCTGTGTGGGCATGGCCACTGTCACACAAGCCAAGGGCCAGGCGCTCTGGAGCAGTTTCCTGCCACAGGGGAGCCCCCGCTTGGGACCTGTGGGTGACCGGACGTGGCTGTGGTCCTGAAGTTTGTCCAGTCAGGGGACAGACCCCTCCCACCACAGGGCCAGGGGCTCTAGTGCCTCTGTGACACAGTGCCACAAGGTACCTGACAGCAGCTGTGAGCTCAGGTGAGGGCCCTGAATGCTCGCTGGCGGCTGGGAGGCAGGAGGTATGGTGGCACAGCACTCTGGAGGGAGGCCGCAGCCCCCCAGAGCCGGCATTATCCTGGAAAGGCCTGAGGACTGTTTGAGAGGCGGTGGGGTGTTTGGCCCAGGGCAGGCAGGCAGGCAGGCAGGTAGCTCAGGGTAGCTCGGTGTGGCTGTCCTCGGAGGTGGTGCTGGGGGTGGGCAGGAAGGCGCAGGAGATGGGAGGCTCATCTTCCAAGTTCCTCTGGGCCTCTCCCAGGAGGCCTCTATTCCTAAGAGGCACTGACAGTATTTATGACTGACACATTGGTATTTACTGTAACTGTTGCAAAGTAAAACCTGTCCCCTTCTCTTTGTCTTCAAAGCATGGCTCCCACCCACAGCAGACCACTTTGTTGGATTTAATGGACGCCCTTTCCAGCTCAGGGCCTGTTGCCCAGAAAGCAGAGTCCCGGTGCCGGCCGGCCTCAGCTAACCAGACCAACCTATGGGGCGGGCCGGCAGCCCCAGCCAGCACGTCAGACCCCTGGCCATTGTTCGGTAAAGACGCCCTCATTCGTCTCCCATGCCTGTCTGCGGGGGCAGGGGCAGAAAGGGCAGAGCCTCCTGCTCTGTCACCTGGTAGGGGTGGGAGTGAGTCTGGTCCGTGGTGGTGGGTGTACAGTATTCTGTTTTGAATGGTTTTCTGCTATGGTAGAGGGAAAACTGACTTCCTTTCTGCTTCCCACACACACTGAAATGGCCTGTCCCTTCTCTGGGACACACGTCAGCTCTCAGCCTCAGGATTGCCCCAGCCCCAAGTTAAGAAACTATAATGCACAGCATGAAACATCTTAATCAAGTTGCTGTTTAGCTGGAAATTATGATGTGCCTCACATGACTTACTTGAAAGGGGACGCATTTGCTGTAATTTTTATTTGTTTAAAGTAGCGTAAATTGGTTTATCAGGCTAGTGAATAGTTTAAAGTTCTGTTTAATGCCAAGTGTAAGAGTATTTGTGATAGATTTGAAACATGAGTGTGACACAATTGATCTAATTTGGGTAGAAATCTTGGACACATGGGTTTCCTAATCACTAAACACAGGACTTGGTGTGCAGACTTCACAAAGGCTTCCCACCCAGCCTGCTGCTCCCGGAGGCCCCCTCTGGGTCCTCTGAACCCTGCCAGCCATGGCTGATCTGTGGGGCTTCTGTCTAGGAGCTTTGAATTGTTATATTTTGTGACAGTTTGTGCCTATATCTCCTGGGGTTTCTGTTTCCCAAAACTAAAACCATCTCTTGTATTCAGCTTGGCTCCCCGGGTGATTGCTGAAGTGTACTGTATGCCAGGTCCTGTCCTGCCAGGTAGAGACCCAGACAAGAACAGTCAGTCAGTGGTCCCACCCGCATGGTCGTGGGCAGTTGTGGGCGCAAGAGCAGCAGGCTAGGAGCTGCACTGTGCTGGCCGGGCCTCCATGCTGGTTACTGGAGAGCATCCTGGGCCAGGGCTTAGCTCAGGAGTCTAGTGGACGGATATGAGATAGGCATCTTGGGGGAACCTTTAAGGAAGAGCAGCAGGTGGCCAGGCCATGAAGAGGCAGGGGGCTCCCAGGAGAGCTTGGCTTATGAGAGGCTGAGGAGTTGAGTACATGCAGCGGGGCTGAGTGTCTTGACTGGGCCAGAGACCTGACCTCACAGGGAGCTGTGTGGTCTCCTGGTGGGTAGGACAGGACCACCTCCAGTGGCTGGGGTTCACCCTCCTGCAGGCAGCCTAAACTAGGAAGCAGCTATGCCTAGCAGCTGAGATCACATGGGATTGCTGCCCACCCAGGTCTGCTATTCTAATCATTTTTAATCAAGATGAAATGCACATAACATAAAATTCACCCTCTTAACCATTTTAAAGTGGACTGTTCAGTGATTCTTAGCCATTCCCAATATTGTGCAGCCATCACTACTAATCAATCCCAGGACATTTCCATTCCCATTAAGCAGTTACTCCCTGTTGCCCCGCCTCCAGCCCCTGGCACCCACCGTCTGCTTTCTGTCTCTGGATTTGCCTGTTCTGGACATTTCGTCCATGTAAGGGAATCATTCAACATGCAGCCTTTGTGGCTTCCTTCTTTCCCTCAGCATAATGGTTTCAAAGTTCATCCGTGTGGTAACATGTATTCATACTTCATTCCTTTTTATGGCTGAATAAGATTCCGTTTCATAGATACAGCACATTTTGTGAGGCATTTGGCTTTTTGGCTTCTATGAATCCAGTTTTTAAAGAGAAGATTGAAACCTGAATTTTTAAAAGTATTAATTTTTAAATGTTGACAATGAATTAAACAATTAAGAGCATGGTTGGAGCTAATCAAGATATCTCTGCAGGTGGCCTCCATGTACTTTGTGGACTGCCTGCTTACCATTTCCTGCACTTGGCCAACCCAGGGCCCTCTCCTTGGTTCTGATGCAGGTTGGCATTTTTGTGGTAACTTGGGGACAAAACAGGCTGCCAAAGCCCAGAGAGACTGTTCATTCCTCTGGGGTCACACAGCAAGTTAGGGGCAGGCTCAGCACATACGGCACCTCGTCTTGGAATCGCCAGGCCATCCTGGATTGCTTCAAAGACCTTCTGTGGCCATACATGTCCTGGAAGTCATCTCAAATCCCAGCATCAAGAGATAACCAGCATTAAAATGTTAGCTTGTCTACTTCCTGTTTTTTTCTGGGCACTTACGTTTTTACACACTTGAGGTCATGTTGTAATTACAATTGTATAAATATATATAGATGTTTCCATTTGTACTATATGGTGAGCATTTCCAGGCATCATTAGAAACTAAGCATGATGGCCCCAGTGGGATAGTGTGGGGCTGGACCACATTACCCAGTGTGACTCCTGTGGGACAGTGGGGGCTGGGCCACTTTCCCCAGCAGCCCGTTGATACACGGTGGGTGTGCAGTTCCAGCCCTCTGCTCTCAGTGGCACTGCAGGAGGCGCCTTGACACCAGCTCCTGGGCTCACTGGAGGACAGTAATAGTGCCTTTGCTTCCATCTTCCAAGATGTAGTTTCAGAACAAGATGTGGTGTCGGATTCACCAGTCGTCGTCTAATAAAACCAGCTAGTGCACGTTTTTCAGGGCCACCCCACCTGCCCACCACCTGAAACATGTTTTTAAGTTAGAAAGATGAGGGAGTCTCTCCCCAAGCACTGATAATGGCACTCTCTGGATGAAAGAAATGCTATTTTGAAAGCCACTGTTTGTAGCCAGCCCTGCCGTTACAGGTTCTTTCCAAGTAGCTCTGGGGTCAGCCTGGCCAAGTGGCCTTGGGAGGAGGCACCAAGGGATTACAGGAGGGGAGCTTGGAGCCGCCAGGTCAGCGGGGCCCTTCCTCCTCTGTCCCAGACACACACAGCAGCCACCTGGGATAAGAAGAGCCCACAGCCCCGTGACTCAGAAGGCCTTGGCCAGCGAGGGCCCTCTGCCCACCTGCCTGCTGCCTGGGTGGGACGGAGGCCATCTTCTGCCCCAGTGGAAGCAGGTGGTGGTGCTGCTTTCTTGGTGACCCCGTGACAGCCCAGTTCTGTGACCCCATAATGGGACTGCCTCCCTGTGCACATAAATATTCATATGTGAGGCTGGGGATGAGCCGGGCTTGGGGAAGGATGCATGCTCCCTGTGAATGGGCCCACAGAGCAGGAGGCCGGAAGCTGCTCCATCTTTCCGCCCTGGCTTCCATCCCCCTTTCCTCTCATTCACTTGAGCTTTCAACAAGCGTTTATTTATTGGGTGTGCAGTGCAGCTCTGCCGAGGACATGAACACAGAGGACCCTTGCAGTGAATCTACTGTCCATTCATAGAGGAGAGCAGAGTGCGAGGTCCCAGCAGTCACACCCTCAGCAGGCATTCACAGCGGGCCTGCTGGACCCAGTCCCCGGCTGCCTGTTTTCCCACGGCCTAGCTTATGTGAGCTGCCAGCACCCGGGGAAAGGTGGAGGTACCGTTATCTGCCCCCAAGTGAGGTTTGAAGACAGTAAGGTGCCAAAGTATATGGCCTCCTATGACTAGCGGTGCACGGTAGAGCAGAAAGCAGTGTCCATTACGCACATAGGTCCCCAACCACTGCCTGCAGAATGGAAACCTCACAAATCTCTTCTAGGCTGAGTATCTTATCCATGCTCATCTGGCTGATTGTGGATGGCCAGGGTTTAACCAAGCACATCTTTCACTCCACGTATAAGCTTTGTCCATGGTGGTCAGGAGCAAGGGGTTCTTTTCAGCCAAAACTTGCTCATTTCAACATTGTGCATCATATAGGTGCTGATTGTTAAAAGTTCTTGGCTGTGCTGCTGTTTTGTTGTTTCAGCAGATTTCTACAGGAGAAACGGCCCACGGGAAATAACTGGAGGTGTCAGAAGAGGCTCTCCAACAGTTTCAGGGCTGAGCCCAGGGTGATGGCTGGCTCTTAGAGAAAGCATTAAAATGCATGCAGTTTATATACCTTCATGTCCTAGCATCCATGAGCTCCCCCTGAAATGTTGCAAATACAGTTGCATCCATGAGCTCCCTCGAAATGTTGCAAATACAATTGACCCTTGAATAATGCGGGGATTAGAGACACAAACTCCCACAGTCAGAAATCCATATATAACTTTTGATTCCCCCAAAACCTCACTACTAACAGTCTACTGTTGACAGGAAGCCCTACGGATAACATAAGCAGTCAATGTGTTCTGTATGTTATATGTATTATATACCGTATTCTTAAAGTAAGCTAGAGAAAACATTTTTGCAAATTGTTGCAAAGCTCAAAAATATTTTCCAATATATTTTTTAAAATCTGTGGATAAGTGGACCTACATAGTTTACACCTGTGGTTATTCAGGGATCAAGTGTACTTGGTTTTAAATCTTAGCAATACACATTTATCACTTTGGGGGAAAACTGGTGTGTTTAGACCCTCATTGCCTGAGATGTTTAGATGGAAGAGCAAATAATATTTTGGCACACATGATGTGTGTGCAGTCACTGATGGGCTTGCCCATGTGGAGGCAGGAGTGCAACACCCTAGGCCCGGGGCTGGCAGGTGGGCTGAGGAGAGTTCTGAGACTTGCCTCTGCTTGGCAGGGCAGCCTGGATTCCCTTACATGTCTGATCCTTGCTTTACACCGTGTCCTGTTATCTGTGTAGCAGACTCCTGCTTATTCTTGAAAGCATGGCTCAGATGTCTGTGCTTAGGGAGACAGGATCACCTTGTCCTCAGGACTGACTGACCATCCAGTGGTCACTGGCTGCCTGTGACCCCCCCATGCTGGGTGTGGTTGCCTGTGTCCACATTTCTATCTCAGAGGCAGGACCTGGGCCTGTGCTTGGTAAATGCCGGACAAATGTTATTCAGGCAGAGTGAGGTGGCCCCAAGGACCACCTGTCTGTGGGAGGCAGGGCTTGTTCCCCCGGGTGTCCAGCCGGTTGGGCTGGTGTGTCCGAGCTGGGCCATCAGACGGTGTGCCCACTTCTGAGGAGGCCTGGCCAGGGGCCTGAGTGCTCCAGGAGCTCAGGGGCTCTC